GGGGCGTTGGGCAGTGCGGGCACCGCCTTCTGGACGAGGGGGCTCCTGCCTCGCGTGCTTCTGCGGGAAGACGGAGCCCCTGGCCTCGGCTGGAGGTGATCGGATCGGTGCGATTTCTGTGGGGGTTTTCTCACCGTTAGTGAGGATGGGAGGGCCTTGTTACGAGCTGCTGCGTTTCTCTGACCGTCTTCAGGAGTGCGACTTCTGTGGGCTCAGGAGCGCCTTCCGTTTAGGAGGTAGATGCTTCCTTGAAGACATGTAAGAGGCCGTCTAGATGAGCTGAAAAGTAGGAAGTCAAGAATTCGGGGCTCAAGTTCTTGACTTTGGCTGGCAGGGGTTTAGTGCCAAGGGGGAGGATTGTCGATAGATCTCTCTGTGGACGTTCGCTTTGAGAGAAGAGAAGGGGGAGTCACTGAGACTAGGGGTGTATTTTCTTTTTTCTGATTGGTAGTAGTGGAAAAAAAAATACATAGTGGTCTGTCACACTCTTGTTAGAGAATGGTCACTGTCATGCTGCTGCTCAGGCAGGATGTGAATATGGGTGAATTTAACATCAGGTTCTATAGAAATCCTTCAGAACGTTGACAGAGCACGAATTGATTTTGCCCCTTTAAACTTGGAAGTTACTGCTCTGTGCTTCATGAGCACCATGCTCAAGTTTCGTGAATCTCTATTGATCAATGGTAGAGAGAAGAAGAATAGTCTAGTTACAGATTCAAGTGTCAGTTGAGTTTTGTTGAGTGAAATTCTCAAAATTAATTGTCTCTCTTTATTTTGGGGTATCTATGGATGTGCAGTTTTTTACCGGCTCCAACCCAGCTGTCTCAGGACCAGCTAGAACTAGAAGAAAGGGCGAGAGCGCAAAGATCGAGGCAAACTGCTCTAGTGTCATCACGAAGAGAACCTCCCCCGTATGGTTACCGGAAAGGATGGATACCACGGATGCTGGAGGTATATGCTTACAATCACACTGTAGTAGTGTGTCTCTGTTCATGAAAAAAAGTGTATTTTTTGGAGTAGAAATAAACTCTGAGCATCTTGAATGTAGCACAAAGAATTGTGTGAAGCCTTACCACATGGAGAACTTCCATCAAAGCTGATGGATATGTTCTTGAGTCAGGGGAAGTTGTTGTAATTAACTGTGTTACTTAAAAAGTTTTATGGTAAGCTGTATATTGTATGGGCTCTTCCCTTTAGAAATTATTATGCAGTAATGTGGAAATGGTTCCATGGCCATGTCGGTTTACAGTCTCTCAATGCAAGGATGCTCCAAGAAAGACATCTGTGTTTTCCCCTCATCGTTATTTGTTAAACACGTGATCTAGGTTATAGCTGGAATAAGGAAACAGATATATATATATATATATATATACACACACACACATATAAGAGAACAGACTACTTATGGGTATTCTGTTCTTATGGTAACACGAGGTAGCTGCTAGTGTGGAGGGAGAAACTCTTGTTGGAATTGAGAGGAAAACTTTAAAATTTGTCATTGTTAAAGTGTGTTACTGGCAGAAGGGTCTTGGATGGTAATCGTGGATGGTAATTAGCTGTGATCCCGGCCTGTTTTATGTGATTTCAACTGGAAGAGTTGAAAATTTGGATAGAAAATGCAAGTGTATAACTGAATACAAAAATCTTTTGGTGTGATTTGTCATTGCAGATTTGGAAAAAAAAAATTGCAGACAGTACTTGAAATGGTACTTAACACAATGTCTGAGACCTGTTACGATCAGCCATGAGCAAGTGTTCTTGGGACAAGGCATACTGTTCAGGTTTTGGTACAGTGTTTTGTGATCCAACCTTGTTCACAAATGCCATCATTTCATGAGCTAATAACAGCCTTACTTACATAAATACTTTACGTTTGGAACCATCTTTTTAAAGATGGATCCAACACAGTACTTTGGTGATCCATTAGCACTAAAAAAAGGTGACTTCAAATAGTTCCACTGTTCCTTTAAGACAAACTTCTTCTGTAAGCTCTGCATTTAATAACGTTAAGAGCTCTACATTCACTTAAACTTTCTGCCTACGCTACTTCTGATGTTAGCATATTATTCTCCAAGTGTTAGCTAAGAACTTCTTAAAAAACTAGGTCAAGGTTTTTAAACAATTTCCAGCATCACTGGGCCACAAAGTGATACAGATCTCAAAAGGGCTGTTAAGGACTCCCTTGTCCATCTAGATAAATACATATTCTTCAAGGGTAATAAATGTTTCTAAAGCATAACCTTGGTCCCATGATTCTGGGATGGCATCAATGGAAAAATCCATTCTTAGAAGATCTAGAGTACTTTGAAAAGTTCTGAGGAATGACTAACTTTTGTTCCATGTAGTATTTTAACATTGATTCTGTAACGACTTGTTGCATGTGGGACATCCGGTAGAAGACCTTCAGTAATTGGTCCTGTATTTCAGTGAGCACTTTAAGCTACCGTGAGCGTGTGCTGCTGTGGAGGGGTGTTCTGCCCACTTACTCCAGCCTCAGTCCGCTCTCTGTGTTGCACTGGCAAAACTACTTGTCCACATGGTGAATATGATGGAGGATCAACCTACTGAAAATGGAACCATTCTTTTTCATTGATCTGATTCACTGTCAGGCTCTGCAAAAGCTATGCCACTGCAGCCGAAAGAGGAGGAGATGCTGGTGCTGCTTAGGCAAATGCTTCCTCTGAAGAATCTAAAGAGCTGCATTTGGAACTATAGCCTGAAATTATTTTAGGAAGAGTACCAATTGTGTATCTTCAGTGTTACCGAATCAGGATGATCTGCTTTAAGAGGTCTTTCTTTTTTTCCCTTCAGTAAATGCTTTTAAAGCAACATGTTGAAAAAGAGGGGAAGCAAACCCTTTTGAAAGTACCGGGGTAATGGGTACTTGCCCGGTTTTCAATGTATTACCATGTCAAAGTAAGGAAATCTGATAGATTGGCATTTGTACCATTTTAAAGCTGTGATACAGGCTTGGAAAGGAATGCAAAGCTCTTAAAAAATTTTCTTTGGTTTATTATGGTAGGAAAGTCAACAAATAACCAGGAAGGATTTTCATCAAAAAAGTCAGATTGTTTAATTTTAGTACTTCCACAGTTGCCTTATCGTAGCAGTTAAATTCTTGAAATCCTAATTACTTAAGTCACATATGAATTGACTGTTTGATCGTGTACTATCTGTAACACTTTAGTGTCTCCACATTCTAGTGAATGATATGGGGCCTTGCTTTGTGCAAGGAATAGTTGTAGATACTTTCCTGCAAGATGTCCATGGACTTCGATGTCTTTTATTTTAAGAAGTGTAAGTTCTGTAATGCATTGCTCTCTCAATAGCTAAGATAGTAAAGCAGCTAGAGCATTCTGGCAATGATTGATTGTTTTGTCTTGATCTGTTTGTTTGTTTTTGTTGCAACTGATTAACTCTTTTGTTCCGTTTCCCAAGTCTTTTACTGTCTTCTTTTTTCTTGTAGTCATTCACTATATTTTCCTTTTGTGTAGGATTTTGGAGATGGGGGTGCTTTCCCAGAAATTCATGTGGCCCAATATCCATTGGATATGGGCCGAAAGAAGAAAATGTCCAATGCTCTGGCAGTTCAAGTCGATGCAGAAGGGAAGATAAAATACGATGCAATAGCTCGACAGGGACAATCAAAGGACAAGGTAATTTTCCTTCAAATGCGTAAACTGGGAATGTATACTGGGGAAATTGTATAGGTACACGTTGTGTGTACTTAAACTCATTGGTTTGGCATTAGACTACTAGAATGCCTCCTCGAGGTACAGTCTTATTATAAGTTTAAGAACTGAAAAATATCAGAGAGAGATGAAGACTTGGACTTGGAGAATAAAATGAACTAGAACTCAGTTGCCATGCTTGTGTGATCCTCTCTGCTTTGTAAGTAAAAGGTAAAATAAGAGCGATGAAAGTGTCTACACAAAATTTTCTTGACAGTTTGATAGCGTTCCTTAAGAGACCCTTCCAGTGAAGGTAAGAAACTGGAAGCAGGCTTGGTCACAGAGAGCCTCGTTTTGGTGTGGCAAAGGCAGGGTGCAGGAAGAACGCAAAATTCCTTTCAATTTCCAGAATAATATGCTTTCTGCCTTATTAATATCACATGTTGATGTTTCTGCTGTTTTCAATATTGGGGGGGGCTCTTTTTTTTCTCCTTAAAAATGCAGCAAGAATTATTGAATTATTACCAGTGTTTATACTCCAAAATTTCTGTGTTAAGCTTAGTTCAGAACTGTGGCAAGACTTCTGCTGAATTTAATGGGAGTGAACTTTAATTTCCTGTATACAGAAGCCTTTCCAAAGAAGAGAAGATGACACTTTAGTCTTGTGGAATCCTAAAGAGTACCGAGGAGAATCTGAAAAGAGCATTAAATACAAAGGGTGGTTTAGGTGATATATACAGATAACTACTTTCAATATAACAAATTTATTTCTCCTGCTTTACTGTAGGATGTGTTGGGAAGCTTATGGGTAGGTAACATGCGTTATGCCTTAGTGCAAATGAGAAAGCAGAGAAACTTCTTTAAAGCAAGAGGTGAACTTTGCGTCTCAAACTAAAAATAGGGCAAGCGTTCTAAGAGTGGAGAATTCTGGAGAATTTTTATTTTTATTTATTTTTTAAACAGACAAGATCAATTTTTTAAGCTCATCCTATAGTTTCCAAAGGTATAGAAGGTTATGGCCAACAGGATTTTATATTTAACTAATACTTATTTAATATTTACTTACTTAATACTTATTTAACTTAACTAATATTTAACTAATAGTTGAGTGTCAAATAAGTGTCCCATCTTGTATATCCTCATCCTGTGGGTCTTAAATTACTGCAGTATCTTTGAAAAAAAAATGAGTCAAATCAATCAGACCCCAAGCCGTCATGGGGATAGAAAGTAATCTGACAAAACAGAAACCATAGTAGTGGCGGTATTTTTGAGGGGACTGCCTCTAGAGCTTGATCAATGCTTTATGTAGGATCTTGAATTGTTTGCTAAGAGGAAGATGCTGAAATATTGATTACATTTATAAAACTTTGTGATTACACTTGATACTAAATAGAAATTTGACATACCCCAAAGAATAAAAAAAGACTTGTAGCAGAGAAGTGGAATGATATAACAAACGTTGATTATGGGGAAGCTCTAGAGCAAATAAGAAACAAAAAAATCAGTATAGTTAAGTTTTTACAACTTCGCTAAAATATGTCTTTAGCTGTGGGATCAGGTTCAACTTTGAAATGATAGATAGATTTGAACATCTATTGTGTGTCTATTGTGTGTTTGAAAAAGACCTAGAGATGATGGTAGACCTCATCAAGAAAAAATGACTAACTTCTGAAGTTATGTAGTAGCTCAGAAATTGCTCTGCCTTACCTCGCTCATAGTTAGGAAAATGCTTCAAAGAACAGGTCTTAACAGCACTTTCTGGAGTCCTAAGCAAAAGCTTGGAAGAAGAGCTTGAAAAGTAGTTTAAAAAGCCAAGGAAGGTTGTAATGAAGTACAACTATAGCTGTTAACGTTTATCATATTTAATTCATGAAGAGATGTATCAGCATTCATTAACTTATCCATATGGCATCCTGTAAAGAAGCAATAATACTATTCTGATTTTGTAACTATGCCTATCAGTATAGAACAGATGAGTGGCTTTTCCAAACCTCAGCTCTGTTAATAGCAGAACTGGAATTAGTTTCCTAATTCCTGACTTTAAGCTCTGCGTTCTGGATCAAGTTGGTTCTAATAACATGCAGTTGGGTGTAAATGCTGAAACTAAAGATTAGGTATCGTGATTCAAGGGAGAGTAAAACTGGGGTAGAATTAGATAGTGGAAACAACCTAGTTGGAGTAGTAGAAGTACTATTGCTTGATTCCTCTTTTAGAGGACCTGGGAGAGTATTAGTAAACGTGCCCTAGGGAGCAGTTCTTCAGTGATTTGTGTTCGGTTGGCTAGGTACAACTTCTGATAGTGCAGTGTAAGTAGCATTACATACAGAAGTTTCAGCATCATGAGAGATGCATTTTGTAATTCAGATATTTCTTCAATCGCAATTGAGTTAAAAGAAACAAATACTTAGCAGGTGAGGCAACCAGGTAGTGTTTCTCATACCATTCCATGAGCTAACGTTTGGTCTGAGTTAAGAAGCAAACTTTGCTTTTGCTCCAGTGTCTGAATTCTTTTGAAGCTCAGTTTAGTATTTGGCCTTCTTGTAGATGCAGCCATGCCATCATCCAGATCCTATATCTAAGTGGCTTATCAGCAGCTTTCACTATTGCAGCGGTTCATGTCTCTTGCATCTGTTCCCTTATGCATTTAAAAAATAGTTGCTTCAGAGGTTTTTCCTCAAAAAATGCTGACATAATTGAGATAGTGTGACAAACCTTCTGTTTGGAGATAGCAGAAAGTCTGCTAGGTGTGGTATGGTGGGTAAAGATGAATCTGGACGTGTGACTTTGTATCTGAAGATGAAGTTCCGTGTAGCTCCAGGTGAAGACTTCCATCGCTGGCTGTACGGTTAGCTGTTGTGGGTTCTCCCAATACTGTCTATACTCATGTAACTAATAGCCAGACTAAAATAATGCTTGGAGCGTTAATAATTTATATGTTTTAGGGAGACTGATGAATGAAGTTGTCTTGTTGGTCCAGCACTGTGGCTTAGATGTTAACAGAGGAAAAAGAAGCCACAAATCTAATGTGCAGTTTTCTCTCAAGATTGTGAATTAAATTGAAACATTCACAAGACATAGTAGTTGCATTGTTTAAGGAATTTGTATCACAGCAATGGGCCAGGCTAAGAGAATGTGAATAGAACTAAAATGATTGAAAGTATTCATTACTTATAACGTATTTAACTTCTTGGTAGAGCTTGGTGTGAGAGCTTGTCAGCAATTCTTTCTGTGGTATGTTTGCCAGGCTTCCAACCAGGTAATTGTAAAATTGTAAAACTTCTAAATTGCTATGTACTTCAGGTGAAAAAAACCAATGTTTTCTGTAAAAACAGAAATTTTAAAAGGAATACATTTATTATACAGCGCTTAGCAGTAGCTTCTTAATTTACACATAGGATTGATAAGCACTGGATATACAAAATAAAATACAATGAAGGAAGGGATTTTAGTGTTACAAAGTAAGCAATTTTTGTCAAGACGTTTCTTCCTGTCAGGCTTCTTGTGGAACTCTGAATGTGATTGATGACTAAATCCTGCCATAAGCTAAAGTATCTTAAAGAGCTAGTTAGGTAAGAGTATTCTCTCTTTGATGGCATGCTGGCATACAGATTTCTAATTGCTGCCTGTGAAGGTTGCCTCTGCCAGAGAAGGAATCATCTGGTTGTACCAAAAATTGAAGATTTGATTTGTGGCTAGACTTCAGATTCTACTTTTCAGTAGATAATAATAATACCTGAAACACAGGCTGATGCTTCCTTTCCAATTTCATAGATGAAAAAGGGTAGTGAATGGGCATGCGAAAATAGCAAACAGTCCTAATCTCTTTATCTTAGAGTAATAAAATGTCTGAAATTACTGTTAAAATAGATAAATATCTAGAAAAGCAACACAGTGCAATATCTTTCATCTGACTCTGTCTGTATTGCCTCCAAAAAGGACTCCAGTTAGAACATGCAAGTTTATCAAGTTTTTAATAGAGACAGGAATTTTGGTATTTTCGGGCTAATTTCATCCATGTTCTTGATCCACATTGCTGCTGCTTGCCATATGCATGCAATATTTGGGGGCTTAATTAGTTCACGTAGTTCATTTATATCCCAGACATCTCAGAGAGGAGAGAGTATTGTGTAGTTTTGAGAGAACTTCTTCGCGCATCCCCGCTTTTCTTTTGTTTTGTTTTTTGGGATAATCTGAGTTCTTTTAGCATGCTTGGTTTTTCATGTGGCAAGACGCTTCGGGCTTGCTTAATGGCATTAGAGGAACACTACTCCTCAGATGTCCATCACTCAACTTTTGAGATGGTGGATTGTTACTGATATTCAAGGATTAGAAATCTTAGGAGTGAAGGATAAGAATCCATAAATGGCTCTTGTGTGCCAGATTAGTATTGAGGCTACAGGTCAGCTTCACAGTTGGGCATACACTTTACTCCGCTTGAAATAGTAATTATAATGACTTTTAACCCTTTGATGTGGAACATTAATGAAATGCAATAGAACCTTTTCCCTGTAATGTTATCTAGTACTGTTCTTTGCCTATATTTAAAGTCAGGATGTAAAGCTAGTGAAAACTAGCTAAGTGATCCTAGAAAACAGAAGTATAAATGTGGGTTTTCTGTATGTCTTGGGGAGCCCAAGAAAGGAATAGTGTAGGAATGAGAAGCAGGAAATGGTGGTGTCTAATCTCAGCTCTGACCGTGATCTACTTAACGTAATACTTAATCAAAGTAAAGAAACAATCTATTTGTAAAATGGGGTCCAGACTATTTTCCTATTCTATGAAAGTCATTTAAAAATGTATAATTGCAGTGCACTTCAAGTTGTATACAAGTGCTAATTAGTACCTAAATTATAATCTAGGCCAGAAACGTTTCCTTTGGAATATTTCTTCTATTTATTCCTGTTCTTCAGCACTAATAAAATATAACGTATTTCAGGTTATTTACAGCAAATACACGGATCTTGTGCCAAAAGAGGTTATGAATGTGGATGATCCTGAACTGCAAAGACCTGATGAAGAAGCAATTAGAGAGGTATTGTATGCATTAATGTGCCTAGTTATTTGAGGTACGTTGTATGTCTTGCATGTTTGATGAGATGCACACTGATATTTTTGTCCTCAGATAACAGAGAAGACAAGAGCAGCCTTGGAAAAGTCAGTATCTCAAAAAGTTGCAGCAGCCATGCCAGTTAGAGCAGCTGACAAACTAGCTCCTGCACAGTACATTCGGTATGTAGTGCTGATGTGTATATAAGATGCTGTTATATATAAAACTGAATAAAACAAAGACATTTCTTAACTTCCTGAGAACAAGACTCTTCCTCTTAAATTATCTTCTTCAGGAAGTATTATGAAGCCAGGTTGTGTGTTTTGAATTCACTTACTAATGACAACCTAGTTTGAAGTGTGTTGAAATATGCCTCAACATATAAATAGTTGTCAAACTTTGAGGGGTTATTGTTTTTCAGCAACAAATTATTGGTTTGTCAGGGAGCGCAATGAGTCTTGCTGTCCTGCAAGCAGCTTCTTTACTGGGAACTTCTCTCCAAAACAAACCATGTAAAAAAGATTCTTCCCTTATATAAAATGATCAGTTGAAAAGAGTTCAGAATTACTAGGAAGCTGGTACATACTTATGATGATTCCCTGCCGCAACCACAGGAGAATTGTGTAGTAGGGTTAAACTTGGCCTGAGATGAATTCTGAGTATGTGAAGAGGTTCTTAATAAGTGGTCCCC